CACTATTTTCAACAAGTAGTATACTTGATAGTAGAAATCCTGCTATTTTAACAGTGTAAATAGGTATTTGCATTTAGTGTAAATAGCATATTGCTAAAAATACTGCTATTTTCACTTAGTGTAAATAGAATCCATTGCTAATAAGAGATTTGAAAAGGGTGGAAAAAAAAGTTCGGCAAAAGGCGGGATCGAACCCGGGTCGATCGCGTCAAAAAGCCAAGGTCATGCACCTATCCATGTGCACCACTGGAGCTGATGATTTACAGCCACTTTTAACTAAATGTAAATAGACACCCCGTATTTTTTATTCCATAGTGAGGGCAATTCATACAATACATTTAAACTGAGCTACTTTAATACCATCTCCGAACTTTCTACCATGACTCTGCTGTTCTTCGGCTGGTTCTTCCCTGTATACGTTGATTGACAGATGTCTCGTCCAGTCAGCGGTGAGTAATCCCAAACCAATGGCGCTGTCTCAAACTATACCTACCTCTTCCGGTTTGTCTGATTTGTCATTGTGTTTTCTGACTTGTAAATTTGTTTTCGGATTTGTCATTGTGTTTTTTGACTTGTTATAATGTTTAGATAGTTTTTTAGACTTCCATTTGCGTTTGTAATTTGTTATTTTGTTTTTAGAATTGTGATTTGCTTTGCACTTCTCGGCCACCGTACTATACAAATGTTTCCCCGATTTACAGTCTGGACAAGTTGATGCTAGTTGACAAATGTCAGAGCCATTCAGCAGATTTGAGTTGACCGATTTTATAGAAAATTGCGTAGTTTATGATGGTCCCAGATTCAGATTTTCCAGACGGAGGATATCAAACATATTAGTTTTAGTGTTCACACAGTGCAGTAATTTACGGGAGTCACGACCTTATTCTACAATCGTATTGACTCCCAAAAATTTCAGGTAGCGACAACCGCATTTACAGAAATTTACAGTGTGTAAAGAATTGAACAGAACAACTAGTTGTTAATGACGAGTTTAAAAGCATGTCAGAGTTTAGTCTTTTCTGTATGTGTGGTGAAGAAATCACAGGATACATTTTGAATCAGTGTTGCCAGATCCTGCTCGAAAAAATAAACAGCAAATGAGAACGAGTCAATAATAAACTCAAATCCAAACTGTAATCTTGGGAATAAGCTGCATACCACAATATAGTGACCTGCACCCGCCCACTTTATTGACTCTATAAACTGGATTGCTTTATGAGCCGAGCCCAAACAACAAGCCCAAAGATGCTTGATAAGCATTGCTTAAAATAAGTAGATATAGCAACCCTTAAAGAGTAAGCTCTGTGAAGTAGCCTTCCAAACATAAACAAAACACAATGGCTCTCTTCACTGTGATTTAGTTAAAATCGTTGAACACAATGAGTCTTTGGTTGCTGTAATATCACTTCGGTTGAAAATAGCGGATACCAAACATGTGAGATGCCAGAACATTGTAATGGTTACCATGCTTTCGTTGCGATTTTTAAAGCGAGTTCTGTTCCGTACACACACAAATCGATAATTTAGTGGATTTAGTGGATAACAAGGCCTCTTACAAAACTTTTTTTAAATGCTTTTAAATGATTTTATCGGAAAATTGGTTTTGAAAAAGACCGATACCCATAAAAATGCTTAATATCTGTGCTGATAATCGGCCAGGCTGATAATCGGTCAACCCCCAATTTAAAAGCTTATAAATAATTTTATTGCCAAATCGGTTTTGAAAATGACCAATACCGATAACCATAAAAAAAATGTATATTGGTGCCGATAATCGATCAACCCCAAATTTAAATGCAGTTGTCACTCCTGAAACTTTACAGTGTATACACGGCCTTAGTGTATACCAACATAAAATCATCTCAAATATAACCGTGAATTGTTCTGAATAGAAAATACATCAGGAGAACCATGGTATCATTTCCAAAGTAGATGGTAAGAACATGATATCTGTGGTTGTTTGTGCCTTGCGTATCAGAAGGTTTATCATCAAAATGGAGTTGAATAGATAAGCAGACCTGAGTTAAAGTGTAATCCCTTCATTTCTTTGGGTAATGAGGGTTTTGTCTCTCTCTGCTGGTGTTTTAGCTGCTGAAGGTGCTGAATAAGTCTAATGAGAAAGTGCTGGCCCTGGGCGCCTGCTTTAACGAGCAGGCCGACTCTCATCTCATTTGCGTGCAGACGGCAGATGGACAGTACCAGACGCAGGCCATCAGCATTCACAGCCAGCCACGCAGAGGTGAGAGAGAGTGAACATCCCAACACTCACGTCAGCTTATAGACACAAATATCTGTTATTTCCTTGATTCTTTTGTTTTGAATATTAGTACAGTGGTCGAAAAAAAAGTATTTGGACACATTTTGCACCTAGAACTGTATGAATGTCATTGCATAGTATAATAAACTAGCAAACCTATGTATTTATTAACACTTGTGCTGTGTTGAAAATCCTTTACCTGATTTGGTCAAAAATGCCCAGCCTTGTAACTCTCTCATTATTATCATGAAATATTGGATTTGATCTCTCTGTCACCTTGTTTTCTTCCAGTTAGCAAAGGTTTTGTGTTTCCTTTTGGAACTGATTAACGATTAATCATTGATCTGAGTACCTGTGGCACCTGTAGAAATCAGTTCATTCATCCTAAGGGACATTTTGGTCTTTTTCATTTTTCGAATTATTTTGTATTTTTAAAGAAACGTGCTGCAAATAGTCACAACACAAACTAATAAAGAAACACGCTGCAAAAACAAAAACAGGCTGCAAATAGTTACAGACCACATCGGAAATGTTTAAGGGAACAGCAAAGTGACGAACATGGCTGAGACAGATTTATCAATGTTTGCTTTGAAAGGTGAGATTTTTGTTTAATTTAACATCCTGATCATACGATTCCTTAGTTTTTTGGGTGGGTGGGGGGGGGGG